TTCAACAGATCTAACTTTTTCTATACTTGTTCTTGCATCTCCTTCGATTTCCACTCGAGTAAAACCCAGTCCTTCGCAAAATTGAGCCCATGCAAGAAGGCGATCGCCTCAGCCGCCAAAGGTGAGACCACCTGGTAAGAAACTCTACATCTTGAACCCAAAATTTACCCATTTGAGTCCCTAATCACGCAACCTGAGCTTGCTAATAAGTAACCCGCATCCACACCACGGGGTCACTAGGGGGTTGCCACAAAGTCTTCGAAAGAGGGTTCTGATGATGGAGAACACATGTCAAAGAGTTGAGCTCGTTTATATAGCCCCGCACGAAGGTAAAAATCTCATTTTGACTCTGATCTATACCTTCATGCACATACTTGTTTCGAGAAAACCTTAGGGCTCAGATAGATATAGTAACAACTTTCATCTTGCATTTATCCAGATTCTTAAACATCCAACCAGATATTCAAATTGCGGACCGAAAACGCGATAGCGGCCTTGATATTGTGTTAGATCTGCCGTCCGAAATTGATTTTCATGATTTTTACGGTGGGTAACAGATTCACACTGATAACAATATATCGCGCTCGTAATTTAACGGGTAACGGTGGATTACGTCGATCACGAGACGCTATAAGTGTTATTCCAACCGTGATTCCAACAACAATTTTTTCTTTGTTTCAAAAAATGAAAGGTCGGGGATGTTGAGTTGAGAGTGAAAGCATAATTTTTTTTTCAAACAATGAAATCGGGGAGGGGAGAGTTGAGAGTAAAAGCAAAATTTTCTTTTTGTTTAAGACAATGAAAGGTCGGGAAAGGGGAGAGGGTTTATTTCTTTTAATTTTTTAAATAATTTTTAAAATATAATTTTAAAGGATATATTAATTTGACATCAATCTCACTTTTAGAATTTATAATTTAATCTCTAGTTTAAAATGTAAATTTTAATTTTAATTTAATTTAATCTTAATTTAAATTTCTGTAATTTAAATTTTATAATTTTATTTTAATTATATTTAATTTAGTTATTTTAGTGTAAGTTGTGTAACATTTTAAAAAATTCACGACTGCGATATCCACAATGATCACAATGACATCCGTTGTGTCCGTAACCGTGATAAACGTGATATGACCGAAAACGTGACCGCAAATACTATTTAACATCTAACTAAACCACTCTTGAAAATTTAAGTGTAACACATCAGTAGTTCATTGAAAACCTAAATTGTTCCACAACCCTTAAGCATAATGACAATCTCGACTAACATGGAGAACTGAGTCTTCAATCTGGGGACATCTAGGGCAGAATGGTTTATTGACAATTCTTTTAATGAAAAGATTCTGAACGATAGGTACGTAATTAAACAAGAACTTCCATAACAGAATAGGCACCTTACTTGGACAGTCAATTTACCAAAGATGTGTTAGAGTAGATTTCAGGTCAGAATCGATTAATGTAGTCTCAGAGAGCAATCTATACCCACTTCGAACGTCTTTTCGCCACTCCAAGCTTGAGCATCCCTAATAGCCGAGGAGGGGATTCAGATCATCATAATTCTTTCAACATCCTCTCTCAAGAATTTTGTTTCCAAAAGGCTCACATTCCAAGTTCGATTAGTATAGTCAATCAGATCAGCTACCATTTCCAATCCCTCCACTCGCGGCGTCGTAATTTTCTCAAGTCTTTCCCCAAGAGCCAGTAGTCATTCCAGATGGACACTGATTACCCCGTACCAATTCGCCAACATAGACCAAGGTCAAGGAGGCCCCTCACGCTCCAAACAGATCGCTAGATCAGGGATGGGTTGGACCCCAGATGGGCATGAGAGAAGGCTGTAGTGGGGTAATATTTTGCCATGAAAATATGAGCTACAAGAGATTCGGGGTTTTGAATAAGCCTAGCTAACAAAGCTATATTGAATTTGTCCATATCCCTAAATCCCAAACCTCCCTCGTCCTTTACAACGCTTAAGTTTGCCCACTTGCATCGATGGATCCGTCGTTTAGATTGATGATGTGACCACAAAAAACGAGCCATTATAGCCTCAAATTTATTGCAGAGCCCTAGGGAGTAAAAAGTAGGACATTGCGAATAAGGGAAAATACTGTAAGACGGACTTGATAAAATCTCTTTTCCTCCCATTTATAGTTGACGAGAGCTCCAACAGTTAATCTTCACATCGAATTTATCAATTAGAGCAGAGAAAGCTTTCTTCTTGTTACGCCCTACTAACGTCGGCAGTCCTAAATATTTTTCCGGATTATCAGAACTTTTAACTCATAGAATTCTCTTAACATCTTCCTTGTTAGCATCGATCACATTTGTCCCAAAGAAGACACCAGATTTGTCGAAATTTACAAGTTGACCCGAGTTCTGGGCGTAAACCTGCAAAAGGTTCTTGATATTCTAAGCCCAGTGGCAGTTGCTTCGTCAAAAATTAAGCAGTCATCTGCGAACAATAAATGTGTGAGCAAAGGGGCTCCACGAGAGACTCGGATACCTATAATACTTCCCATAGAAACAGCGCTGTTAATAAGAGTGGAGAAGCCCTTAGAGCAAATGAGAAATAAATAAGGGCTGATAGGGTCCCCCTGTCTTAGACCACGGGAGGGGTAAAAGGTCTCACCCATTTTCCCATTGATTCTCACCGAGTAGGAAACCGATTCAAATCAGTTCATCAACCATTGGATCCAGATTTGAGAGAAACCCATTCGAGATAACATTTCTCTGATGAAGCACATTCGACTCTATCGTAGGCTTTGCTCATGTCGAGTTTCAAAGCGAAATAGCCTCGACTACCATACCTGCGATTTTTAAGAGTGTGCAAAACCTCATAACTCATAAGCAAGAATGATATTATCCGAAATTAAACAGCCTGGAACAAATGCGCTTTGAGACTTGTCAATACAACAACGCAGCACCGATTGAAATCTATTGGCTAGGACCTTTGATAATATTTTGTAAATAACATTACAAAGGCTTATGGGGCGGATCGAGGACATATCTTTCGAGTCAGGAACCTTCGGGATCAGAACTGTGAGTCTTGTTAATCTCATGAAGCTGTATCTCACCTTTCAGCACCATCGAACACAAACTTGTCACTTCTTCACCAACAACATGCCAGAACTTCTGGTAAAAAATACCGTCCGGTCCAGAAGCCTTCAAAGGGTTCGTGGATTTAACTTTTGTGGTAACTTCCTCATAAGAAATATCCTTTATAAGGTCTTCATTCATTTCGGAGGTTATCCGCACTCGAACACTATCCATAATAGTACTTGAAGGAGATGGACCTTGGGAAGAAAACATATTAGCAAAATAATCATTTGCTATATCGCACAAGTCTTCCTCCTCTGTTTGAAACAAGCCTTGCTGGTCATGTATGCCTTTAATCCTATTGCGCCGATGACGATGGGAAGCAAAACTATGAAAGAAACCAGTGTTTCTATCACCATGTCTCAACCAATTCGCCCTCGCTCACTGCTCCCAGTAAAGTTCCTCACGGTCGGCTTCAATGTTCAGGGTCAATTTTGTCTCGATGATTTCACCCAGGATATCGTCCGAGACTTGAGCTGAGTTCAGAGAATCTAGCCACTTCTTTAGGTCCTTCTCAGAAAACTTCTTCCCCCTTTTAAGAGCTCAAAACCACCTCTCAAGATCAAGACTTCATTTAACTTAATTAAAAAAGAAAAAGAAATGATATGAAAGTCAAGTGAGTCACGTCATTTGATCCATGAAAGTAAAATTTATTTAATATTTGGGTGCAATTAGTGAAGTCAAATGTTTCTTTAAAAATTCCAATTAATTAAACTTTTTATATACTTCTTTCTCTATGTTCACTAAACTTATTAGATAAAAAGTAACAAAAGAAGGATTAAATCGAAAATGATGATAAAAGATAATTTGTTTGATTATATTTAAGGATTGTGATTATCACCCTTGTTAACATTATTTTAAGTTTAAATTTTATTTTTAGGGTAAATTATACATTTAGTACCTAAATTATCAGATTTGATCTATTTTAATATCTAAACTTTTATTTTTTTTCAAAATTATACCTAAAGTTTAGTTTTTATTATATTTTAGTATCGTCGTTAAAAAAATTTAGTTTTTGTTTTATTTTAGCATCACATTCAAAATTTAACGTTAAATTTTGGGTGGGAAATGAAAGTTTAAGTGCTAAAATGAATTAAAACTGATAGTTTAAGTACTAAACTCGTTAATTTTTTAACAGCAAAGTACTAAAATGAAATGAAAACTAAACGTTAAGCATGATTTTAAAAAATATTAAAAATTTAAGTACTAAAACATATCAAAATTAATTATCTATGTACTAAATACATAATTTATCCTTGTTTTAATAATGTACTTTAGTACTGGAAATTTAATAATTTAAGAAGAAAAAAATTGTTTGGGCATAATGAAAATTGATACTCCAATATGGATACAGGAAGTGTCTCGAAAGATTCAGAAAACCAGGGTGTGTGTTTAGGCCGAAGGGTCCCACATGGATCTGAATATACATGCAAATGGTTTGGTGTGGGAGCCGCAAGCCACTAATAAGTAATACCCAAACAAGCTCTGATCATGTTTTCGGATTTTCTAAGTGAACATCATCATGACCATTGCAAAAGCACTGAATGTTAACATCTCCATGGGTAATAACCAGAAAAAGAAACGAAAACGCGCTGAGAAAAAGGAACTCACTGAGGAGTAGTTGTAAAGGGTATTGAATAGTTGTAGTCCTGTGTTTTCAAGCTGTGGAATATTCTTGCTGAAGGTTGTTAGGGGCTGATAGACAAAATAAGCAAGTATAAAGCTTTGTTCGTTTTTGAGCTGGTGGGTGCTTGTTTTGGGAGGCTAAGAAGAGGAGTTCACCTCAAATTGGTCTCTTATTAGGAGATTTATCTGGTTGCTTTTCAAGGTTCGATTTTTGCAGCAATTTAGGCTGGTCGGTTGTTAAAGCAGAACTGGGTGGAGTTTCAGTTTTGGTAAAAGGGTTTAAGGCATTTGTGCTCGGAGTTCTGCTGCTGGTTTTTGTTTATAGTGAGGAAATGGCTAGCATGAAAATTGGATCCAAAACTGATGCATTTAAAAGGCAAGGGCAGGCTTGGTATGTGCCTGATCTCTGCAATTCAACTACATCTCCATCTCTCTCTGTCTGCATATCTTCTGTCATTCACTGTTGTAAGATTTTTTTTTAAAGAAAACATTTTCTTCTTTTGCTTCACTGGGTTTTAATCTTCACATTGATTTGTCAAATGTGCTCTTTTTCTTTTTCAAGTTAAATTTGTTAGAGATACATTTGTGTTTGAATTTGCATCATGCATTTGGATCGAGAGAAACACTCATACGTGCATGTTTCGGGATCGAACTCAAGATTTTATATAAAGGAAATATCTAAATTATACAATAGTTCGAAATTTTCAAGAGGAGGATCGCTTGGCCAACCCCTCGGTCTATCCCTGTATGTTTTGGTTGTTGATTTGACTGACCAAGTTAGTTTTTCTTGTTAGAGACACATTAACCTCTATATTTTTAGGTTCTGCACAACTGAACTTCCTAGTGATATTGTTGTTGAAGTTGGCGAAATGTACTTTCATCTTCACAAGGTAATTTTCCCTAATCAAATCATATATATACTTGTAATAAACTGTTGATGGTTTATGTTCTTATTTCTTGAAACATTCATTTGGTGCAGTTCCCTTTACTCTCTAGAAGTGGTGTTATGGAAAGATTAATTGCAGAAGCATCTGAAGAAGGTGAACAAAAGTGTTCCATTTGCCTTCCCGACATTCCTGGAGGGGTCAAAACTTTTGAACTTGTGGTCAAGTTCTGCTATGGTGTGAAACTTGAGCTCACATCCTCGAATGTCGTCTACCTCCGATGTGCTGCCGAGCGTTTGGAAATGACCGAGGAATACGGGTAAGGCAATCTTTTTTCCAAGACTGAAACCTTTCTTAATCAAGTAGTCCTCCGAAATTGGAAAGACGCTTTGAGAGCCCTTCAAACTTGTCATGATATCATCGATTATGCCGACGAACTGAACATTACGAAAAGGTGTATTGAATCATTGACCATGAAGGTAACTACTGACCCCAACCTTTTTGGGTGGCCTATAATGGAACATGATGGTCCTATGCAGAGTCCTGGTGGAAGTGCGCTGTGGAATGGGATTAGTACAGGGGCTAGACAGAAAAATTTGAGTTCAGATTGGTGGTATGAGGATGCATCAACTTTAAGTTTTCCTCTCTATAAGAGATTGATTGCTGCCCTGGAGTCTCGTGGTATCGGACGGGAAGTAATTGCCGGGTACCTTGCTTTTTATGCAAAAAAGTATCTACCTGGTTTGAACAAGCGCCAGGGCAACTGGAGTGCTCGTCTCACACCTGTGGCTTTAAAGGCTCATCCATCCGAAGAAGATCAGAGGCTTTTGCTGGAGGAGATTGATAGGTTGCTTCCTGTAATCACCATTTTTACCTCCTCATTCCAGTAGCTCCATGTTTCAGCTTCAATAGCTGCCAACAGCTCCAACAACGACAACCGTCCAGCCGTTCCTTTACTCCAACTGCTCCGTCGCCTCTACTCCAAATGCTCCGTCGTTATGTTCCTCAATTAGCTGCTACTAAGTCACCACAGCCGCAATGAAGATTCCAGAAGAGATGAGGACGACCGCACACTTCATTGAAGCTAAGGTGAATCACCATCGTAGATCCAGTGACTCATCGAACAAACAGTAATTTGAAGGCCTATAAAAGGTCATTTAACCTGCAAATAAAAAAAAGTAAGCAAGAGAACCAATCTACCACCAGCAGTAAAAAACCGAAAGGAAAAAGAAGGAGAGAGCTTATCATGGTCATCGAAAAACCAAAATATCGAAGGTATAATTTTATATCTAGAAAATTCTAGGAGTTTTTAGGAAAAACGGAGGCCGGATTCGACTTTAGGGTGTTCCGATCTAAAATTTGGGGGTATTTTCATATTTTTCGGCCACTATGAATAGTGACTGACGGTCGGAATAGTGACCAGTGGTGGTCGAAATAGTAACCGGCGATAACTGACCGGTGACCGACCGGTGGCTAAGTTTAGAGAGAAGTGAGAACTTCTCTCTTTAGAGAGAGAAGCAAAATGAAGAAATGAGAAATTTTGGTAATTTTATGTTATTTAAGGTCTATTTATACCCTCCTCAAAACTACGTCGTTTTGGGGAGGGACTACTGTGTAATTTCCATCTAGGAAGAATCACGCGTGTAGTCATCCTAGTTATGTAACTTTCTATTTCAATCACTAAAATCAACTTCTAATTATTTCAATTCGACTTTATAGTTTTATTTAATTTATAATTTAGTCACTATTATTATACTTACATATTTATGATAAATACTTTATTTAGTTTCTGGTAATTTTATAAAATTTATTTTAACCCGGATAATTAATATAGAGGCTAAATTACACTGTTAGTACATATCTTTTTTAATAATTCAAATTAGGATCTTTAGGTTTTATATTTTATATATTTGTCATTGTTTTTTTATATAATTTTCATTTTGTCTATTAATTTATATATCTTATATTTTAATCCTATAATTTTAGTTTTCTTTATTTTGTCATTGTTTTATTTATTTATATATTTAATTGTAATTTAATTTTTATTATTATCATTTCAATTTCAATATGTTAAATTATTACTTTAATCATTACTGTTATTATTATTATTTAGTCATATTCATTTATTTATTTTATTTGTTTTTTTATTAAAATCCTATTTATAAATTTAATTTTATAATTTACTTTTAAAAAATAATATTTTAATATATATTTATTTTTCAATATTAAGAAATGACAGTCTTAAAGCAACTGGATGTCCATTATCTGGTATTTTTAAATAAATAAATATTTTACTTTTATAAATTATATATATTAATCTATTTTTTATTTTTAGATAAATATTTTATTAATATTTATTTATTTTTTAATACTAAGAAAATAGTTGCCTTAAAGCACCTAGAAGTCTTTTTCTGCTATTTCTAAATAAATAAATATCTTATTTATAAAAATAAAATTATTTTGAAATAACAGGATTATAAATTAAATACATCTTTGAATATTTAAATTTCTAATAATAAAGACAATTTATAATTAATAAGTACCAATTTTGGGCGTTGTGGGGGTACTAATCCTTCCCCAAACGTAATCGACCACGAATCCTTTTTTATTATTAAAAAGAACGAATTTTTGGTTAAAACGCAGACCAGTTTATCTTTTAACTGATGTTTTCTTAAAAATTCTTTTAAAAGATAATTTTTAGGTATTCGACCTACTTAATCCAAAAGGTCGATGGCGACTCTCAAAACATTTAAAAAAACCATTTATTCACACATCACTTTTCTCGCCAAGTAAAAATTTCGTGCCCGGGCGAAAACTGGTTACGACAGCTTTGCGACTCTGCTGGGGACCTGGTCAAGCTTTAAAATCAATTATAAATCGTCTCTATTAATTAGAAATTAAAAATTCATATATTTAATTTATAATTCTTTCTTTTCAAAATTTTTATATATACTTATTATTTTCATAATATTTATATGTATATTATTTTTTATTAATATTTTTATTTTATTTTATTTTATTTTCAAGTATTAAATTTCATTATTTATTTGTTTGTCAGAGGTTTGAATATTTCTCCTCACACATAACACTTTCATTGCATAACATAAGCTTTATAATCAAGCTTGTCCCTTTTAAGTGGGAGTGAAAGCGACGTCTTCGTGATAATTTATTCTTCGTGTCAGATCTAGCAAGTAGCTTTCGGGGTTTATATGCTCTATGTCTTCGTGAGAATTTATTCTCTGTGTCAGGCATAGAGAAATGTGCCCCATCGAATTGAACTCGATCCACTTTAGTCTGTGATGGACTAGGATTGAGGGTTTGGTAGCCTAAGGGACACCGACAAGGACAATTCGAGTACTCTTACTCTTAGAAATGAAAACCCTGTATATAATTAACCCTAGAAACTCTCCTGATCTGAAACCATACCGAAATTTTGTCCAAAATAGGTGTACACAAAGGAGAAATAAGCTCTAGCTTTTAATTTATTTGAATAAATGCATGCGAACAAGAAATCATGCAGTTAGGTTAACTTTTTCAAACAAAGCATGGAACTAGAAAGCATGAGGTTAGGATATATACCATGATAGATAGAATCTTTTCTTTTCATTAGTTGGTATTAATCATTTTATTTTATTTCTTACTTTTTCCCATGCATGTTATTTTTCTCTAACTTGTTTACATTGCATGATCATGGCATAACCAAAAGGTGTTAACTTGAAAGACTGTTCATCAAATTAGAAAGACTTCATAAATGGACAAAAAGTTTTATGATCGAACAAAATATGACGCAGCCAAGGAAAGACATCCTAATGAAACCCCGAGGATAGAAGCGAGCAATGCACACATAGATCCTGTTATATTAATACCAAAAGTACTCCACAAAGATCCTGCCAGATTGATACCAAAAGTAGTTTATGGTAAGAGCATCAGTCAGGACATTCAGAGTAGAGGAGGTTTTTATGAAGCTCAAGCATGTTATTTGAAGGATCAAAATAAGAAATTGAGCACGAAAATGGAAACAATGCATAAATATTTCCAAAAGATCAGTCAAGCCTTTCAAGATGCTGTCATAGGAAACACCCCAGAAGAGTGGATAACAGGGGTCACCAAATTGAAAAAGAACTACAACATATATGAAGATCTTATCCAAGAACTTCTTGGACACAAAGGTTTTCTTACAAGGGAAAATGAGCAACTCCGAGAATTGACACAGAAGATGAAGGAAAAAGAGAATGTCATGGAAGAAGCTGCAGTCCAGACAAGCAATATGGCCCCATAAGCTGATAGACCAAGCTGACTTTACAAGGAATTGAAGCAGACTGATAACTCAACTTTTGAGCATGAATGGAAATTATCTTAGTTTTAGAGAAGTTAAGAGGGAAAGTTATCCCCTATATGTAAAGTTTTGTTAAAGTTATGACTGAAAGCTGTCCCCTACATGTAAAAGTTTTGTTTGATGCACGGAAACTTTTGTGTTCAATGAAATCTGTTCTAAGATGATCACTCTTGAGTAACACCTTTTCATACATGCATTTGCATTTTGCATCTTTGCATTTTCATTTATACTTTTATGTTTTCTTTTGTATTGCACAATTTGCATTCTTATTGTTACATTCACATATTTACATTTGCATTTGCATTTTTTTCATTTTTATGTTTATATTTATATTTTCATTTTTGCATCTGCATATTTGCATAATTACATTTTATTTCAAACTATTTTACATGCATTTAATCATGACAACTGGAATAATTCATGGAGAATTCCATGACATAATTTTTGAAATCAAAATGGAGTTAACTTGGTCTTCCTAAAGAAGGATAATAGCCATGAATGAGATTTTAGAAAGGGTTGGTAGAATCGAGAAACTGTAAGAGCAATGGAAGATTCAAAAGAACAACTGACCAAATTGATGGACCTGGTGAATATTGTAATCCATGGAGAGAAACCCTTAGAGGATCCTGTTGTGAAAGATTTGAATGGGATTATGAATGATGTAGCTGATACAATAGAAACAAATGACCATAACTTTGTCAGGGAATGTGGAAATTCAATAAATCTCCAAAAATCGGGTATGACCCCAGAAATTGCGACAAAGATCAAGTTGAAGAGAAGAATGGAAGAAATTTTAGTGCCATTGAAGAAAGCTAAACAAAGCAAACATCTAGATCGTCAGTCAAAAAGTCTTCAAGAAAGCAAAGTAAACAATTGTAATGTAACAGTGATGTCAGGGGAAATTCTACCCAAGTTTCCTTCAGTTTCATGCAACAAGTTATATCCTGAGTTACTCAAAGCCCATCTTATTGGACCATGTCAGGCTAAGCCTTTGTTGCCTTCTTACCCGATATGGTATAATGAGAAAGTCTTTTGTGAATATCATGCTGGAATCCGAGGACACTCTATCGAGAATTGCGATAACTTCAAACGACAAGTTCAAGACCTTTTAGTTCATAAAATCATAAGAGTGGATGTTAACAGTCAGTCCATTTTGATCAAACAATTAGGATTCAAACCCCAAAATGAAGTTAACAAGGTCAAGTGAAGTATATGAAGTATATATGACAGATTCAACTCCTGATACTTCTCTGATGCTAAAAAATGAGAAAGAAATGAAAAGAGAGGTAATTCGAGACTGGCCCACAGGTTTAAGAATGAATAGGGAAAATGTAACTCTGAAAAAACTCCAAACATTTGTATCAGATTTTTTTAGGACAAGTGAAGCAGTGGGCAATATAAAGAGTCTGGTGAATACTACTCCAATCACAACTGCAATATGTATTCAGAATCAGAACAAAACTGTCATCACCAAATGAAGCTGTTCTGAATATAAAATTGAGCCCAATTTCCACTC